CCCACGTTTTGCAACTTTCAAGATTAATACGCGAATCAAGAACATTTGTAGAGATTCTATAAGGACTTTCGAAAAGAGAGAAGAATCGGACTAAGCGCAAAAGCGCGGGAGGGAGGAGGGAAAGGCTATCGCGATATCGTGAATCGCCTTTACGGAAACCGCCCTCGCAGCACGAGACAGCCAGATATCTCGGAATGTTTTACACCTCATTAGGCAACAATGTGTTGTTGCCAGGGTGAATTATATCGGGCATGAGACGCCCGTCAAGACAAATGGCTCGAACCGGAGGTAATTGTGGGCTTTTATTAGCTCTGGTTTCTCCCGCTGGCTGCGAATCGCGCAACGCGGGAGACGCCGAGCCAGCGGCGCAGCGACAGCAACCCTTCTAACTCCTCCTGCTCCGTTCGTCTCTGCATCCACCTCGACCCGCCTCCCCTACCCGCCGCACCGTTGCTTTCGACGGTGCGTAATTACTCGCGTGACAGTAATGCGGGAATGCGAATCTCGCCTCTCTAATGCCTGCAGAGTCATCCCCTTGTATTCAGTTTCTACGCTTCTTGCGACACAGTCATCGTTTCGCTCCGCTTCGCCGAGATCTCCTTCGGCTTTTAATCGAGCCGATCGCAATGGAATTGGGAAAAATTTCAAAAGTCACGTTTCAGTTCAAGTTCACAAAAATTTAATGATTATTCTTTGACCATACCAAGCCGCTGCTAATTTCGTTATAGCAGACTGAATATTAATAAAAAAAAACTTATTGTAATGCAATATATTATTTAAAAGAGAGACAGAAAGAGGGGGAACGCTCCTGCTCAAAAATAAAAATAAAAATTCTTTAAATTACAAATCGTTCAATTATCTAATAAACAAAGGTATCATGTTTTTAATTGATTATTCAAAGTAAATATAAAAAAATCTTGTTGAAAATTAATATTTCCAACCTAAAAAATTAATTTAATTTTAACTTTACATATTTCGTTTTCAAAAGCAGCTATAGATCAGCTACTTTTTTCTACATCGTAATTCTTTAATATTTTTATAATCTGCATTTTATAATACATCGTTGTCAATTAAATTAGAAAATTTTGTAAATGTTTTAATATAAATATTAATGAAATGCATTTCTAAAAATAACGATGTATGTGACAGAATGATCGCGGCGTGATAACAAGGAAAGTTGCACCGCAGACAGAATCGTTAAGTGAGACGGAGTTAGTGACAGGAAGTTGTGGAATAAGATTGTCATTTCTCATGTGCCCTCTCGGTCTCTTTCGACAGTGAGCGAAACCGCGCTCGTTTTCGAGGGGAAGTACAGGCTTTTGAAGAACCGTATTTTCACGACGAAAGAATCGCTATCCACACGTTATTACGAGGTACGAGTCACTCGCTACATATGCGAGCCAAGCTTGTCTCCCTTCTTCACTCGTTGCCCCGCGACTCATGTATTTATGCATTTCCACCGACTGGCTGCTCCTTGACTCGCAACCACGCATACATGCAGACAGAAACTACGTCGAAAACACGCGTAAATTCCCTTTGTACAATAAAGAAAAATAATATAGGCGATATAGAAACGCTCGAATTCCTTGAAAGTGGCATCAACAAAGTGTAAAGAGATGTACATGTAAAATGTCAAGATCAAATTTAAATTGCAATTGCAATGCACTATGGCAATAAAAGTTTCTTTTGGATTGAAAATCAGTTGTCGCGGTTTCTGCCAAACTCCTGGTTATTTTTCATTATACAAGAGCCATATTTACTCATTGCATTCAATTCCGATTCACTTACAGTATGATTTACTCGACGAAGGCGTACCTGGAAACTGGTGTGATGGGAATTTATTGAAGGCGGAGGTTGCCCTAAAAGCCAAAGCACGATGCGCAGAGGAGAGAGAGAAGAAGAATACGGAAGAGAGAAACCACGAGAGGGACAGCAAACCAAGGGAAAGGAAGATAAAGGGTACGTCCTTTCCTCATATTCTGTATCCTGCATGGCTCATAAAAGTTTGTAAGGACGTCTTCCAAAATGTAGATTTATCACAACGTTTTTGTCTAAGAGTTTGTTACTTTTTAGAATTCTTTATGGTTAAGTAATAACATTACATGCGAAAGAACAATGTGAGAAAGTGCTAAATATTGTGCGTTTTTATAATAAAATGAAATATTCTATTGTAAATTTGATGTAATATTATAAATATTTAAAACATTCTATGATAAAGAGATTTTTTAATTAAAATTGTACTAAAAACAATCTCAAAATTAATAATAAAATTTGGAGAAACACGATTGTTATATAAATCATGTATAATAATAACTTTTTTTAGTCTGTATTAATGTTACAAAGTTAGGAGTGGGTACAAGCGCAATACATTTTCGAAAAAATACTTGTAAAAGAAAACTTACAGATAATTTATATCAGTTCGGGAAGAATGCTTTAAAAATATAAAATACGTTATATAGACGGTGGAATACATAGCGTTTCTTTATTCGGCAATATTGAATTTTTATTTGTCTTTTGTATAACTGTCAGCGATAGAGAGCCGGCTGACGTCATTGTATAAAATACAGGCACAACTTAAATCAGGATGACAATAATTGTGTCTAGTAGATACGGATGACTAACTTTGGAACATTTGCTCACTCGATCTTTTCTTATAAATCATCCAATATTACAGATTCTCAATTGATGAACAAATAACTATTACACTGGTTGAGTAACATTTTTATTTCATATATTTAAAATCTTTTTATATTTTCTAGATTTCCAACGGCGTGGTTTAAGTATGTCACGTAATATAATTTTTGTCATAATTTAACTTTAATCGAAGTATTGTTTCAACAATTAATTATAAAAAAATATAAATTATTTAAATAAATTATCTGACGCACACACATTTCCTAATGAACGTATTGCCTCATGGCATGTAAACTTATGTAATACGGGATTAGCATTCATATGAAAATATAGGAGAGCCACGAGAGCCAGCGAAGCAAAACGAGCACTAGTGCTTGCCAATTTACGCGCGGAACGGGATTTCGGTCGATCGACGGGGACAGAGTATGCCACAGGGTGGAGCAGCGGTTGGGCAGGGATGGGGAGAGAATAGGGGGTAGAGGACACAACCCCCCATGAACCCGAACATGAATTAAAGTTTTAATTTCTCTAAATCACTGTTCGCCCTCGAGCGCTTTCCACCAGACGGTCCGTTACTTATAGCCTTTGCCCTTTTTACCGCCTTCTTTTTTCCCATTCGCCTCGATCTTACCGACGGCCCGACCCTCGCCAATAGGGAGAAATCGATATGCACTTATCCGATGACTCTTGAGACTCCGAATAACGAGCCCTCCTTCCTTTCCTTTTTCGTTTTTCTTTTTTACCTTTTCTTTTCCGCGCGCTTCCGAACGATAAGCAGAACCGCCGGAAATTGTCCGATCTCGAATATTTCGGTCTTGCTGCGAGATTATCGGAGATTTATTTATATAGTTTGGTCTATATTTACTTGCAAAGTGCATGCAAAAAGTCTCTACACAGTTCATTTTCTTACCCTGTTACCGGCACCTGCGCGTCTTCCGTATGCATTCGATATTTTAACTACAAATTGCAGTTAAATCTTTTAGGAGAAAAGCTAAGTCGTATAATCGTTTTTTAATCAAAAAGATTTTTAATTATCTATAGTAAAACAAACTTTATTTATATTTTATATTTAATTACTTATTTTCTTGATTATTATATAAGGCGAAAATCTCTTCATATTGTGCAAACAAAATTATTTTTCGCCTAAAGCTTACAAATATCTGTATACACGTGAATGTTTTTCATGAAATAAAAAAGAAAAAAAAATATTCTCACTTGTACACTACGCCAATCAATCACGTTGAATAATTTGGACTGGGAATAAAAGCACAATGCGAACAAATTCAAAAATCGAGGTACCGCGAAACGCGCGGCAACAATCTCGTCGTTCGCCCATGTTTTCGGGCTAAAAGGGAGAAACGGAGGAGTTGTTCATTTAAAATCATGACGTCGGTCGGAGGGTGCTAGTACGGCGAAAGCGTTAGTATTAACGTTAGGTACCACCGGTCGGGCCACCTACAAGAAGTTTCGTACAGCCTCCTACTTCTCCCATCTCGCTACCACCCCGTTTTCCCTACCGAGGTGACATATTGTTTCCATTCTGCTCTCTCGGGCTAAAGCGCAATAAAAAACTGGCATAAATATCGCCCCTCTCTCTCCCCCCTGTACGTCTTCCTGCATGGCCCCTACCAGTCTATGTGGTGTTCTGCAAAGCCCGAATCGGCGACACTAAGAGAAAAGAAACGCCCGATAGCAGACGGTAGCACCATACGAGAACGCCCATCGCTGTATTGCCGGACTAATTTGCCTGAGTGCCTTTTTGAAAAGGAAACTGTAAGTATCGTGGTTTCACCCACCTATGTTTTTTGTGACTTTTAATTTTCTTAAATAATATAGAGAAGAATGGACCTCACCATATTCTTTATTATGCATATATCGAATATTTTCTCATTATATTGATTTTTTCATTAATTGATTTTTTTATGTTTAAAATATTGTAACGTGTATATGATATTTTTAAGTAAAAATTGTATCTTAAATTTTTATCATGTTTATTCATGAAGTGATATATAAGACTTTATTTTAATAAAATTTAGAAAAGTATATATTCAAAGTTAGCTTACAAAAATTATAGCTCACAAAAATATTATCAAATATTATATATTATCATTGTTTAAGATATTACGTTGCTTCGTAAGATATCCTGTTAATACTCAATATAAACCTCATTTATATCTATATTATAATTATATGATGCATCTTTTTGATTCTAATTTGTCATCTTCAAATCATCGAGGAAAAACAGAATTGTAGTAAAGTAAATATAAAAATATTTGATGTCGTCCATCTTGATAATAAGATTTGAAGCATCACGTAGCAGACAGACTCTGAAAAAATTGTGTGCTGTATGCATATATATTACTTACAGCGTAACAGGTTCTTCGGGGCTAGAGGGCGAGATGGAAAGCGACATGGCAGTAGCAGTCAGGCATCGTGATGTTCCCGGAGATCTGACTCGATCGTCCACCTGTAACAAAACAAATGCAACATGCATCATTTGTAATAATATATTTTAATGTTACTGTTAATCAATGGCGCCTGTGAAAATTATTTCACTTTTCCTTTCTGCGAATACATTTCAGTCGCTTCAATGCCTGCAAACTCTTTCACGTTGCAATAGGTCGGAGAAAACACGAAGAAGGAGAGGCCGTTGAATTCTTCGCGCGATACTTGCTACCGTCGATGGGGAATTGAGCAACAGGTAGAGCAGACATGTCCTCGAGGCATCATGCTCGGCAGAGCACACGCGTGATTCACTGCATAAGTGAGTTATCAGAAGCACCTTTTTTTCGTTTCTTTCTACTTGAGTTCAAAGGGTGGAAAAGCAAGATTATGCAGAAGACATCACGCAAGCCCTTTGGATATATTTATTGAAAGTTTATTACAATAAAAGCTTCAGGAATGTGAACATGTTATATGAACAAATAATGTATCATTTGTCTAATCATGTATGATCTATTAACGTCTATAACTTTAAAATTACATATTTTTAATCTTTAAAAATATATATTGCACAAAAATAATTCCAAAGTAATTGATTTAGTTTATTTATTTGAATTCGATTTGAAGTTATATACAAATCTTTTTCTATGTCATATTTTAATATATAAATTCTCTTTATGTGTAATCCAATACATATATATATATATATTAGACAAATTCATTCAGTTTAATTAGTGAAAAACTGTATTATAATAGATACAATTACAGCCGATGCATATATTAAATTTATACATGTAAATCTATGTGCGATGTGATGAGAATAAAAAAATGGATTAACATGCGTATTGCTATATTTCGACAACATAAAATTCGGAAGTGATTCAATAAAATATCGGATAAAAATATTTTTTTATTTTTCACGATGAATAAAAAAACTTTCAAGAGATTAATAATGAACATGAACTGTTCTACGACGATTGCAGGGAGAGACGTAGCCTCGGGCAAGTGGACCAGACTCGCGGCGCAACCGACATCAATATGAACGAGCGAGCCGCACCCCTAACGATCCAGTGAGTCATATAAATTTTATTGCCATTTCATAAATCCCGACGACCACCGCGAATAACCGTTCGGGAGCTCTCCGAGATTATCAGGAACACATAAAGTTGCGAAACGTCGCACGGTTACGGTTCGCTCGATTGTCGTTTTGAACGCTTCCAACACAATTCTCAAGTGCGTTGGCGAAACTTTCGCAAAAATGAATAATGGCAATTATCGTCCGACTTAAAAAGCGATCAAGCTGCTCGGACAATTGGCATTTTATGTCGGTCTCTGAATTTTACGTTTACATAATGTCGTGTAAAAGGCTATTCTAACGTTGTTATCATCATTTGCATTTGAATCATAATTAACACGCAGTACACAAATAAATTGTATAATGTGTTTTAATATATTTTCAGATTCATTTAGCTTCATTTGAAAAATAATTGCTTTCTTAATGTTAAGTAACAATATTAGTAAAAATAGTATTTCTTCATTTTTATAATAAGTAACAAATTGTTATAACTATAATAAAAATCAAATAATACAAATCTAATTGCTAAAAATGTATATACTTTATTTCAACTATTTTTATTCTTTTATATATATATATATATATATACACATTATATGCATTATTTATGTATACTGTATTTTAATAAAATCGGCATAATAAATATTAAAAATAAAATAAATCACTTATTATTTATAGCTACTTTTCGTCTTTTTTATAATATGTATAAGTGTTCAAAGTATTTCCAATAATAAAATAAATTAAAGTATAAATGTTTAATATTTTTATTAATTTATGTGTATGTTATTTTATTTTATATATTAATAGTTAACATAGTATATTCCATTCGTTTTGCCTTCATTACATAGTATATTCATTAGTTAATATATTTTTATCTGCACATTAAGTAAATATTATTTTGTCAATGTTGTAAATTTTAATTTCTCTATCGCCGATGATAAGAGATTTAGGTCTGCTACCAAAAGGTGCGTATTGCCTTTAATTAAGAAAAAATGTAATATGAACGAGAAACTAGACGAGGTTACGACGTCACCCCCCGCGGTTCTTAAGCCGCAGGGATCGGTCGTTCCCGCGACCATGAAGGGTGGAACAAAGGAAGTTATCGCCGCGGAATTTTTATGCCGACGAGAGAAAGAAATGTAAATCAGGTCTTGGCGCTCTCGCTTTCCGTCGCCGTGGGAGAGAGGATGAGAAAACCAAAGAATTTAAAAGCGTCATTATCCTGTCGAAATATCGAAACTCGCCTATTGAAATTAACATGATATATCTATACGTGTTTGTGCAGTTAAGAATTATTGATATTAACTTGATGTCAGATGTATATTGTCTATTTATATACATAAAGATTTAAGAAATAGTGCCTATACATATTTTCCATTTAGTTTCCATCCGAGTTAAATTTAACTTTACGAATATAAGATTATGTACGTATTATATATCTATAAATGCAGGAAATTGTAAGATTTACATAGCTGAATTATGTCGTCGCATTAAAAACAGATACGGTCGAGCTGACAATCAGTCATTCAGTTGTACGACGAATAAACGTCGAGAAGACGAGAGACGAGATAGAATCGAAATGTAATTAAGAGAGCAAATAATCCGTACCGAACAAACTCCGTAAAATGGATCAAAGAACTCGCGAGAGCGAGAACGAGCGCGATAGTCGAAGAGGGAACGGTAGAGCTTCGACGAAAGGTATCGAAGTGAACTACGTGGATGGAACCGCGTCTCGCCCTGTCGTCGTCCTGTCTAGCTCGAAGCAGTAGGGCAACGAAGGAAGGAGAAGGGCCGCCGGAGACCCTCGATAAATATTTCCGTCAAGTGACCGGGGTTGGAATTCAAAGAGAGTCGAAAGGTGAAATCGAGAACGGGACGACTCCGGACTGCCGCCTTGGGATGAGGAAAACGCCAAAAAAGGAAAGCCGAAACGAGCCCGAGGCCAGTATATTTGCGTTACATTACATAGTTGCGCGTTTAATCAGCCATATACCCAGAAGGAGATGGAGGAAAAAGATTTCAAAGGATGAGAGGGACAGGTATCCCGACCGAGGGAAGAGAGAAGTATCAGTTGCGTCTTTAAAGATATTCAAAAGGACTTTGTTTATTAGTCGACAGCTCATTTACACGCGATATTTATTCAAAGTTTCTACAAAGAATCTTAAGTAGCAGATAAAGGCTAAAGCAGGATATACCATTTTATTTAATTATTAAGTATACTTATTTTTAAATATTAAACGGGTTAATTTTAAATAATAAATTAATCAATTGCTAATATTTATTAAGAAAATATGAAAATAGTATGTATTTTTTTTGTTGACAGTAAATAAGATTACCAAAATTATTTGTAGTATAATATTTGTATAACTCGATTTTCAATCGCGAGAAAAAGGAGCAGGGGAGACTGGAGAAGAAGAGTAAGAGGCGCCTGTGGGACGTCGATGGTGTGACAGATTGCCTCCAGTATTTTCCACTACATACATCATCGGCAGCCGCCAGACTTTAGCTGTATCTCGATGCTCACAACCTCGTCGTTCTCCTTAATTGGCGTCGCCTATATTGTTACCCATCTCGCCGACACTGAAGATGCCTCGCCTTGTTAATACACGCATCTGAAAATGTTCTTATCCAATAAGCAATCACGTCGAAAAGCTGAACTCTCTAAATTAATGTACGACTCGCTGAGGCGAGGCGCGGTAATACATTGATAATAGAACGAAGGGTCGGTGACAAACTGCCGACCGCACTTTCATCGTCAGGGATACGATTAGGGAAAAATTCGTCCTGTTTTAATGGGGAGTGAAAATTAAATACCGCGGTGTGTCCACCCCTTAGGTCCGGCCACCTAATAATTCATACGAGGAATGTAAAAAGGGCAGTGCAGACCCTTTTTCCACGGGCTCGGAGAAAGCGCGAGGAGCGCGACGGAAATCAAGGGGGTAGAAAAATACGGGCTTCTGTTTATCTTGAGATTTGTAGCCGCCTTGTTCCTGGTATTTATTGGCTGTTTCGGGAGCGGGAACGCCGCAACCTGACGGACCGTTAAATTTTATTATGTTTTTTTCAGCGATGCTGAAGTAACGCGTTGCCGGATATAGCCATCGTAGTAAGAATAAATTCTGATCGACCGTGGATCGACATTTTTCTCAAGGGCTATAGATTTGCGATTCTTGTCTTATTTTCTTATCGCTCTGCCATATCAAATGCAAGACATCAAGAAAGAATAAAATAATTATCAAGAAATATAAGCAACAAGAATAAAAGAAAAAGAAAATTTAAGAAAGTTGAACCACAAGAAGAACTACAATTGTAAACATTAGACAACCATTTAAAAAGTAAAAAATAATTACTTAGAGTTTCAGTAAAATAGTTGTAATCAATTATGTAATATATACTCATAAAATATATAAATAAGTTATATAATATTATAATTATATAAGTGATATCATTTCATTACGCTTCTTGCATAGATTTTGCATATTTCTTCGGATAAATCGATATTGTCAATATCTTCTTACATAGTGTGACATTATTATATAATTTTTACACCTTCTATTTAGAAATATAAATAGCATGCGCGTAGCGCGCGTCTGTAGTATCTTAAAAACATAGTACTTAAAAACATTGATTCTAAATATTACAGCAATATTGCAATATATTTCTACACGTAACGCAACTTGCAATAATGACAAGTTTTCGCCTCAGCGAATTCGTTACGAAGGAATTCGTGAGCACACGTACCCTCCCGCAAGTCTGCATTCTGCAATGGTCTAACTATTTCCCCGTGTGAGATCATATCCGGGATTAAGGAGAAACGGCGGTTGCAGGTTCTTCAGAAGGCATGTTGTAGGCACGGTGAAAGCTCTTCGCTTAACCAGGCGCCTCATTATCTTAACAAATCTAATCTCGTGATGGGTGTTTATAAATGTCTTGTTTTCCCCTAAAACGAC